GTTGGCATCTGCTAATGAAGCTGCTGGCTATTTGAGCGCCTTAGACACACACACACACACACATAGACTCACGCACACAAAGGGCTTGAAACTTTGCTCAGCTGTCGCTAAAAAGTATGCTATGAAAAATTTGTGTGTGCGAAACTCTTTTCGGACTCGGTCTCGGCTTGATTAAAATTTCATTAACAAAAAGTTGCGGCATACTTTAAAGCAAGCGTGTGTGTGTGTGTGTGTGCGAAATCTGCGGTGGCGCTGGTGTTCAGCTGTTCACACACACACACACACAACCACTCAGCCTCACACACACACACACATGTGCTTTGGCACATAAAACGTTTTTGTTGTTGCTTTTCGCCTGCACGCTTTTCTTGCCTTTTTCCCGCTTTTCTCTGCTTTATTTTTTCGGAGCTGGCTTTTTGCGCTTGAACGCTTCGTTTGTTTGCCAACTGCCTGACGCCTGTTCAAGGATCTGCCGCCGCCGCAGCCTTTTTATCGCTGTGGCTGTGCGTGTTTGCGTGAGTGTGTGTGAGTGCCTGTTAAATTGCTTGTTTATGTTTGCCCGCCAAACAGGCTGCGCAGCAAGTTCGGTCGCGGCCGCGGCAATCACTTGAAAATGCTCATGTGATTTTGATTTGTTTTAATTTGGCTGGCAGAAAAAAAAAAAGACAACAAGCCCGCCCCGCCCATACACATCAGCCCCCTTCGCCTGTTTACTTTATGTGGCACAACAAGCGACTGTTTACTTTTTGTTAATGTTTTTGTTTAGGCTGTCGATGTTATTACAAAACGTTTTTGCCATCGTTCACTCCGTTAGCCAAACGAGCATATTTTGTATTTAATGAGCTCTTGTTGGGCTCGGAATCATGCGTACTTGGCAAATAATTGTCGAATTTATGAGATGTGTATACAAAGCCATAAATGATATCTGCAGTGAGCAGGCATATCCTTAAGAAGAGAATTGTCCCAAGGAAAAGGGTTCGGGTTGCAACCTGTTGAGGATTTTAAAGGTCGGAATTGAACTCAAAGAAATACAGAATTAAATGAATCACACCTTACACCAAGTCTTTTGCCCAACGAACAGTCAAACCGAAACCTGATTCGAACCATAATTTCCTAAAGAAACGGCTTGTCTTAGTATATATGAACCTTTGAGGAAAACTCAGCTCAAAGCAGAAATAAAAACAAACTTTGCATTTATCTGAGTCTCTTAATTAAAAGTCTTCAAAGCAGCTCCCACAATTTCTCCAACAATATTTCTTGAATTTCTAGATGCTATAACCCTTGTAGCTGCCGGAGGTTTTCAAGTTTTCGTGCTTCCTTTTTTTTATCGCTCATAATGCCAGTTAAATTTAATTGTTAACATTTTGATTTTTCACTCCTACTTCTTCTTCATCTCTGCTCGCTCTTAACTTATCAACCTGTCACGTACAGCTTTTGGCGCTGGCCAGGAATCGACTTAACTACATGCCATAATTATAATGCCAACATCAGCGTTAATTTAACCCAAACCCCAAACCCCATCACAATCCGCTCTTCTCGTCGTCGGCGCTAATCCACTTCAGCCAGCGACTCATACCCAAAGGCATGTCAAGCATTTAATTACTGGCCATCACAGGAGCTTAAAAATCCTGCTGCCGTTGTCCTGGCAAATCCACTTCGTTAAAATAATATTAAGCCAACGAAAGGATCCAACCCGAAGCGGAATTCATCAACATTTGCGTGCCTTTTGCCTGCCGTTTGCCTCTGTTCAAAATGTTACGCAAAATATTTTCATTAAAATGTCAAAAATATCTGCAAATATTTTGCGCAGACACGCAAAACTGGACGCAAAATAAAAACCAAAAGTAAAAGTTTAGCCGTTGAGAGTATGCAACCAAGAGATACCCTGTAAGCAGCTAGCTATTCTAGCTTGCTTCTTCTTCTTCCCTCAGGCACACTCTATTAAAAATGCATTCCTGGATAACTAAGCTGTTTATAGTCAGAATTTTATGAAATTTTCAGACCTTACGCATGGCGCCCAAAAGCTCGCGCATTCAAAAGCTCGAGAGTCTACATCAAGCAATTAATACCTTTTTAATTTCTGGCGGAATGGAGATGGGTCTTTAAAATATGAAATAGTCACCTATCTGTGTATACCCTAAGAGAACCTAAATACAATAGTGTGTGTCTTCAGCTCCAATAATCCGCGAGATATGCATAAAAAACCTTGATTCAAAATCGATATTTATCGATATTATGGAAATAAAGCATATTAGACAAACTAGATCGCCTCAGCTGGACGATTTGTTTTTATAATATTTATAAGCAGTCGCAATTGGAAGTCTTCCACCTCTTATATACGTACAAACAAACCTGTATAGACTACCCCTGTTACCCATTTACAATGGTTACAGGGTATACAACGAAAAAAAAAATGTAAAAAGGCTAGCAAAACTGGCAAATGGAAAAAGGTTTCTCTATTTGTTAAAGCTCTCAACGTGCAGCGGCCAGAATTTGGCCAGTAACAGGCAGCCGGGCAAACAAGCCAGTGCCAGGGAATCGTCGAGAGAGTCGTTAAATTGTTTTCATTATCCTTGTAAGCCGGGCAGAGCCAGCGTCGAGCGCCGAGCGCTCTGTGGCTGTGGCCAGCGCACTTTGCCCGCTTCGACCCGCTTTTGGGGTTGCCCTGGCAATTAAAACCGCAATGCAAATGAGCTGTGCTTAATGCGCCTGTCTCTCTCTGTGTGTGTGCGTATATACACTCTCCTAATAGTTTGCGGTGCGGGCATAGAAAAATTTTAATTGCGCTGTCGGGACGCATTTTTCTGTTGTTGTTGTTGTTTAGAAAAGCGCTTAGACAGCGCTTCAAGAGCGTGGCTAAAGACGTGGCATGGGCCAAATTATGCCTCAATTTGATATGCTATATGCACACATAGACACACACGCACACATGCTTCGTTTGCTGTGCCGTGTTTCCGTTTCATTTGTAATTAATTAAATTACTTCCGCTTAAAGTGCGCTACCAACATGGCGCTGCGGTCCATGCCGAGACGTTGGTCGACCCAATCCCCAGATCCAATTCGCAGCCCACAGACCATTCGACTTCTCAATTACGTTGCTGCAGTCAAACCCCCCACAGAGCCTCCCTTCCTCTCTCTCTCTGTCTCTTTCTCTCTCTTTCTCTCTCTCTCTGTCGCCCTCTCCCTCTCTGTCGCTCTGTTCATTGCGTTGTAATTAAGAAGACATTTCACCCGGGCATCCTTTAATCTGTGCGTTTTATTTGCGTCCTTTTGGCTCGGCAGCCGGCTGCGACTTGTTGTTTACTTCGTCGCACGAGTGCACCCGATTCCGTGTGTTCCTTGTGCCCCAAGATTTGCTTTGGTCTTGCTGTTGTCCTGCCAGTGAATGCTGTGGCTGCCGTTTTAATCTGTGGCAATGGCTGCTCTGTCTGCTGAGCTGAACTGGTTGTTATTTCTTGGCCAGGCGCACGCTTGATTAGACGCCTAATGAGGTGTTGACTATGGCCATCTAATGATTGCCACACACACACTCACACTCACACATACACACACACACTCGCACACATGCTGACTTGCCTTGCTTTAAAGTCAATTTTAATTAAATTTCTATAAAGCTTTTAACACATTTGTTTCGCTCCGTTTTATTGCAGCTGCAAACGTGGCCCACTGACTGCTCAATGAAAAGTTTGGTTGCCGTCGAAGCAACGTGAGTATGCAAATGGACACACACACACACCTACATACACACACACAAACACACGTACACACACTCGTATGCTGCTTTTGTAAGCGCTTTGCATTTCACTTTCATTAGCTGCTGGCCCGAAAAAGTATGCTATGAAATTGTGAAACCAACTGCCAGCAGGCAAATGCTTTTGCGTATTTGATTCGTTTTCATTTGAAACACCAAATCGAATTAAATAAATAAAAGTTTACAACAAAAACACAGACCCAAATACATGTGTAAAAAATAATAAAAACAACACTTAACTCTCCCCCTCTCTCTTTGCTTTACCTTTTATTTACATGAAATTCGGACCTGCACACAATTAAAATTCAACTAAAATTGAAAATGAAATTGGCAAAAAACAAAAAACAAAAACACACGCAACAAACGGCATTCAAAAATTGGCAACTAATTGGCAAAAAATATTCAACTGTGAAATTGGCAAACTACAAACAAAAAAAAAATACTAATATAAAAATACCGACAAAAATACTGTGCTATCCGCTTCAAACAACCACCCACAAAATCATATTAACAACAACAAACAAACAACAATAATCATCATTAACATCATCATCAACATGAACATCATCATCATCGCCATGAACATCCTGCAAAATCCTGCTATTTATGCGCTTTGTGACGTCATATTGCCGCGACCCCTGACCAACCAAATCGCTAACAACCCCTGTGGCCATGCCCAACCGCTGCCCTCTCGCCCCCTTCCAATTGTTGTCGCTTGTATTTATGTGCATTTTTGTGGCTGCCAAAACCCCCCACCCCTCAACCCCCGCGGCAACCGAAAATTTTCATATGCGTTTTCATTTTCGCTTTCTATTTGCCGTTTTTATGCAACCATCTGCCCCGCCCCCTGCCGCACTGCGCCCATTTTTGTTTATGCTTCACGCTTTCGATTTTCATTTTCCTTCGTTATTGTTTTTTTTTTTTTTGTTGCTTTTCGTTGCCAATTTCCGCTTGAATTAATTCTGTGTTTAAATCTGCGTCTGGTTGTCCTCGACCGGCTCCTCATCGACCTCCTCCTCCTGCTCCTTCTCGACGCCTGCAGTTTGCTGAAGTAGCGCGCGACCCCTGCGGTTAGTGGCCCCCACTGTACAAAATTTAATAAAGCCCGCAGCTGCTCCCCTCCCTACCCCACCCTGCTAGTCGTACGTGTGCGGGGGTGTGCTGTCCGGACTGGGATCACACGCAGCGCGACAAAAGCCGCCCGCAGCGCTTTTATATGCGCACATAATTCAAAAACACTGCAAAAGTTAATGCCCAAAAGCGACGGCACAATGATAACCAACAATAATTTGGATTATGAGAAGAGCTGCCTGACAGCGGCCACAGCGGCAGCAGTAGCAGCAGACGCTGCGGCAACAATTGCCGGCAGCAACAGCAACAGCAACGGCAGCGCCAGCAGCAGCAACAACTCATCGCCCACCGCCGACAACCAAAACAATTCCAATTCGAATTCGAGCTCTCATTCGATGAATTCCAATAACAGCCCGAGCTCATACTTTAATCGATTTGATAATCGCATTGCCGCCAATCTGGCAGCGGTCATAACAGGCGCTCGTTTCCGCTCCTCCTCCTGCAGCAGTCGCCAGCAGCAGCAGCAGCAGTCGCAGCAACCTAACAGCCACGCCCGGCAGGTGAACAACGGCTCGCGAACCTCTTACCACTACCTGAGCGCAACACGTGGCCGATCAACATTGAGCAATGCCACAGCCACGCCCCCATCGCCAGCCAGCCTGGGCAGGCGACGACCATTGCACCTATTCACCCAGGCGAATCTCAAGTAAGTAATTAGCTACACTCAACAAAATTGGTGGACCTAAATTTAACAAAAGTTGCCAAAAAATAAATACTATGCCTAATTTGAGAAAGTATTTTTTAAATATTCTATTTCAAGTCAATTTTTTAGCTACATTTTAAGGCAATTTTTGAAAATTTGGTAACTAAGTTTTTCGTCGAGTGTACTTAGCGTTTCCTTAGCAGCAACTGCGCCCTCAAAAATCCCCATCCTCTAAGCTTAATCATGCTCATCGCACACTCAACCACCACAAAAATCACTTTACACTAATTTAACAAAAAGTCCAGCTCAGATTTTGGAAATGATATATATGCCTCTCCCTATAGCTGCAATGAGAACGAGAAGGTGGCGCAAACGCCCAGCTCCGATGAGGATAACTCGCCCACAGAGCTGAACAATTGCAAGCGCCTTACGGACAAGCCGCCACTGGTAAGTAAAAGGAGCCCAAATTAAAGCCCCATTGTCAGCCCTAAGAACCCGCAAGAAAGTCCAAGCATGCTAAAGTTACCACCCAGTAACCCCAACTAACCCCCAAGAAACCTCAAGAAAAACCCAAACACGACGCTGAATCCCTTGAAAATGTGTATGCAAAAAGGGCATAATAGTTTTGTGTAGATGAATGTGACAGTCAGAGGGAAGCATTTCCGACTACAAGCAAATATATTCTTGATCAGATGAAGAGCTGAGTCGTTTAAGTCATATCCATCAGTGCGTCGATCTGTCTGTCTGTGTGGAAGCATCGATATCGATATCTAGAATTTTCCAATATATATTAGGTATATCTTTCTTCTTTTTTTGTCGATATATTCTACCATTTTTATACTATCGATCAAAGTCAGTTGTCAGATATCTATTCTAGATATATCTTCCCATTTTTATTCTATCGATCAAAATCAGTTGTGAAATTTTGATTATTAACTCTAACTCGAAGATTTTGAGAGCAAGATACATAGTCTATAGTCTACATACATGTAATACGTTTTATAACTTCCTATAAACATCCCCCCACTTCTTAAAAAATCGAAAGAAAAAGTCAATACACTACACTATTGCGCTTAGGTATGTACGAACTATTTTTTGCAATATTAAGGCCCTGAACATTTCGTAAAGATCGGACTATAAACACCGAAGTTAATGAAGAATGCATTTCTTAGATATAACGAGCCAAGGAAAGAAGAAGAGCAGAGGCTTCAGAAAGTCAACGTGGTTTTGTATGAGAATGTGCGTTTCTGACTATATGTATATATATATGTATATATATGTGTATGTGTATTTTTGACTATATGCATTAAATGAAGTCCGAATGTCTGTAACGGGAATCTCATAGTCGTGTAATCCCCTCTAGAGCACACTTGCATATTTGTCCTTTTTTTGGGTAACCAAATCGTCTTAAGTTTTCAATCGAAGTACTCAAATTCAACCCCAAACCCCACACCACCACCCCCCCCCCCCCCTAACCCCTCCGCCCACCTCTCGTACAGCCCTCAATCATTGCATATTTGATATGTTTGTGCTTTGACTTTGATAAGGGTGTCTTCAACCCCGTCAACTGCGGCCATTTATTGGTTTCTTGTCGTACGCAATTTTGTGCGCAAATATTTTCAAAATTTATGAATTTCTCTGTTTTCTGTTGTTGTTGTTTTGTTTTCCTATTTTTGCTTTGTTTATTCCGCTGCATTTGACGCTTTCTATGAATTATTGGCAAAATAAAGTGTGTGCCCCAGAAAAAAAAACATCAAAAGCTTTTGCCTAAGCGCAACTAAACCTGACGGCTTGGTTTCTTTTGGCCAGCCCCAGCCCTTTAGCCCCAAATCGCTATCAACTTTTTTGAGTGTGGGAAAAGTAAAAAAAAAGTTGGGTAACTTTTCAAGCAGACCCTAACCCGAACTGTCCCATTCTCTGGCAGACTTACAGACCATTTGCTGTCATTTATATACACTAAAGGGTAAGGTATGACAGGTTTTATGAGAGGTATGCAACGGTAGGGCAGCGAGTATTTCCAGCTAAATAAAAGCTGACAATGTGCAAAGTTGTTAATTCAAATTATTGTTTATAATTTTAAGAAATCGTTTTCGATACTCTGAAGAGGAGTGTCTTACTAACATGGCATTTGAAGCACATGCTCTCCTTTCATAATATCGATAAATGTAGTTTGTAGTTTCGAATATCAATAAGCTTACACAGACAGACGGAAATGGCTGGAAAGCCCCAGCTCTTTGTTCTGATCATATGAGCCCAGAGAAACTTCCTTTTGCTAGTCAGACACATATGCATTCGATTTGATAACACTTCCAGTCGAGCAGGCTTTGTTGTATAGCTTCTAAAAGGGTATTCAAACTTTGCTGTGCTATAAGATAAGCGGTCTTTGTGATTGTTCGCCTACAACGCGTATTTTTGGCTATTGTCATAAGACGTACAGATAGAAGGAGAGTTTAAGCATAGGAGAGACGGAGGCGAACGTTGAACTGTTTCACATGTGCAATGCTTATCAAATGTTTTGTCATTTCTTTTTTTCCTGTCACGTGTTTTTACTTGGAACAGGGCCAGGGTATAGAAGCCGAGAAACTTAGCATTGCACAACTTTGGCCTTCAGTTGGAAGCTGATGCTGATGCTGATGCTTATGCCGCGTCTTCGACTTTGAGTTGAGGCACGTTGTTTTCATAAATTTTGCGCCTTAAATATTCATACCGAGACAGGCCACACATAGAGAGACAGCTGTGCGCAGTCGAGCATAGTCTATGCGATAAGTACGTGCGAGTTTATTCATATGAGAAAGTCGGCGAGAGAGACAGAGAGACTCTTAGAGAATCGTGTGTGCTGTATGTGCTCTCCGTGCACAGGGCGTATGCGTAATGTGTTTGTCTTATTTATGGCCCGATTGCTACTGGCGCGCATTATGATGATTACATTTTGAGCTAATGGCCCTTAAATGGAGCAAAAGTGCAGCCAAAATCAACAGTCGACAGCCAAACTCAATTCGCCTGTCACACTTGAAGCAATTGCCGCAAAAAAAAAAAATTGAAATTCTGCAGCATGGTTAAAATCGAAAGCGAAAACCAATCAGTTGGCTCTAATGGCAAGCCATAAATATTTTCAGCATTCCCCGTATGTAAATACCAAAACGCTCGCCTCAAGGACATGAACGAAAAGGAAAAAATCGCAAAACAAGAAGAACAAATATATACAACACACACATATGTCGAAAAAAAGGGTTCAGCTTTGGCATTTTTCATATTCGGTTTTTTTACGCGCAGTTCACAAAGTGAAAGCGGGTATATTGGTTTTGTGCCATGACCCTTTGGCTGACAAATCTAGAGTTTAAGTTCGTTTGATAGAGTGTTAAGGTGCTTTTTTTTTCATCTGTTGCGGACAACTCGATGTATTTCTTGACAGCTTTAGAGCAAGTCAACTCCCCAACTCTATTGAAGTCCTGATGTTTGAGTTCATCTGGAGGCATATCAGTTCCCTATGATGCCTGCATTTCTTGAAGGGCGCTGTGAATGGTGCTGATTGTTTTTTTTTCCAAGAAAATTACTGGAAACTAACTGAAACTTATCCGTGGACACGACAAACGAACCCGGATCACCCAGTGCCCAGCCTGTTACCAAGTCTCTTAAACTTAAACTGTTAGCATGTCTTCAGGTTTGTCTTCTGAATCCCATTCCTGCATCCAAAAACCCAGGTTTTGATGGCAATCTTTGGTTCGTTTTCCATTTTCCAAATGTTTATGAAACACTTGATTTGCTGTTGCCTAGTTCTTGTTTGGCAACTGGCTAGGCTTAAGCTTCAGCTTAACGTTAAATAAAATGATGATGCTGGTGTTAAGTTCATTCAGTTTCAGTTTGCAGCCCGAATCACTTCACCGTAAACAGAGTATTGTGTAGTCGATAATTGCAGTCAGCTGCGTGCTGTTTTGTCAATAAATCAATTTCGTTAAAAAACATAACACGCATACGCCACGTGGCAACCGATTTTGCTATTGCTTGCTTGCCTTCTGCCTGTGCATAGTTTTTCAATATGCCTCCGACTCGGCTGGCGCTGTCAATAACATCATTTTGTGGCAGGGCGCGATAAGCAAATTAATTTTTGGCGCGCTCAGTTGATGGGCGCTGCTAGGCTAAGGGGCGTGGCAGCACCGGCTACCCTAATTGTGCCCGTCGGCAAAGTTGCCATCGTCGTCGTCTGCTTGGCTGCCTGATTCAATTTCAGATAAGCAAAATAAAGCAGCGGGAAGCAGCAAGTTGCACATGCGACCAAAGACAAATGCGATGGGGCACATTATGCACTTCACCCGCATAACAAGAGGCACACACCGACACACACACACACTCACACACATACTATCTCTCTAACCGGAAATGACGCGCTGTCTGCTGTTGGATTTGATCCCGTGTTGCCCTCTGCTGCTGCTGCTTCTGCTGCTGGCGTTGATGCATCGATGCTGTTGACTCGTCACCGCTAAATGTTTGTTTAGCAACTGCAACACAACAACTCCAGTGAGAGCCCAGGCCAAATATATCGCTGCGCCAGCCTCCATTTCCTGGCTGACATTGAGCGACAGCAGTCGACAGACAGCCACATGTGGCCGGGGCACGACACGCCCACTTCAGCTGGTATCATGCGGAGGACCAAATAATATATTTGGCTTAACTGCCATAAATAATATTTTGTGGCCCGCACCCAGACACGCCCATAAAGGCCACAGAGCCGCCAGCCCTCAATCTGTTGCCTGATTTAAACGTGGCTGACTTTTACCAATTTTGTGGAGCTGTGCCCCTCAAGCAGCCCGGCGCTGACCCCCAAGCAAACAGTTTATTAAATTTGCATAAATGCTCGAATGGAAAATGCTGCACGGCCACATGCGGCACACTGCACGTGCCACCTATTTGGGCAGCTCGCTGCCAGGCAACAGCTGCTGCCAATGTTCCGACTGCCAGTTCATTAAGCCAGCGTTCCAATTAGTCTGTCACACACTTGCTTTATGGCAACGGCAGCAAATGTAAAATGTGTAAAAACCTTATGAAATTGAAATGAAATTCAATTTGAAACTTGCCAGGAAACATGTCAAAGACAAGCCAGCAAAAGTAAGTGAGATGAAGCGCAGCAGTACACAAAAAGTCCTACACAAATATCTAAAAAAAAAAAACAAATACCGAGTTAATCAAAAAATAAGTAATGAAATGTGCCCAGGTGCTCGACTTGCAGTGTGTACTGCAAAGCAGACTCCAATTTCTGAATTTGTACTTCCCTTGGATTGTCTAAACTTTGTTTTACATAAAGGCTCAACAATGTTCTACATTATCGGCTGACAAGTATAAAAACATCATACGAAGATCCAAAGTTTTTTATATGAATATAAAATCTTAAGGCTGATAAATGGGGTTTCATATAAGAACAGGATATTATCCCATTGCACAGATTTACTTTTTGAAAGCTCGACTAAAACTATGACATTAGCATTAATCGCCAAACAATCTGTCGGGGCAATCAGCATACATATTGTTCACATGTAAAGATTCATATTTTCATATAAGCCCAAATATGTTAGAAAAAATAAATGTTGGAAAGCTGCAGCAAACATATTCAGCTAAGCTTTCTGATGCTGTTTACATAGCCAAGTGTGTGGTACCGTGTAAATTGTGTAAAAATGAGCTTCGCACTGTGTGAAATCTGTGTGCACTGCGCCGTGAAATATGCAAAGAATGTTTGCTTAAGCAGCCTAAAAGTATGCAGCGCTCGCGTCTGTTAAATTATGCAGCAATGAGCAAACAATTGCTGTCAGGCTTGCCAGGTAGTAAAGGCAACCGCCAAATGAAAGCTGCACCGCCGCCGCCGCCGCCACGTCTCATTGTCAATGTCGCCTTAAATTATGCCACACACACACACACACACACATACACGGACACGAAGCGCACAAAACTGTAGTCTACTTTCAGCCGCAGCCATTGCGAACAGCCAGACAGACTTTTCAAAGCCACTGACCCCAAAAAAAGGGAAATAAAAATAAACGAAAAAGAAAAATAGCAGGAAAATTATTTTTTCGGGATGGCAAAGACTAAATACCCTGGCAGATATAGATATAAATATTAAATATAAATAGAATATGCCTGACATTTTTATACATAAGCAAAAAACAACGTTTCCATAGAAAATCTCACATTAAAGTTTCCTTGGAAATTATATGAAAAGGAACTCTGAGCTTGTAAAGGCTGTTTGGTTTAGATTTTTGTAAAAAAAAAGTATATCGTACATTTAATTTGACCGATAGATAATGGATGATAAAGATAGGCCTTTGCTATAAGCGGGTAAATGCGAAGTTTGTTAAATACATCTGAAAGAAAAAAAAATAATTTTTCATACGAGTAATTTTGTTTTGTCTGACTCTTTTTTAGACAGATATATAATATAGTAGCCCGATTTTGGTACGATATATGGAAAGTATACTAAATATAACAAATGTCTAGTATGGTCGAGATGTCTGTAAAAACAAAAAATAGTTTTCAAGATGAGCTTATTTTTAATAGGCCGTTCCTATGCCAGTTATATGATGGAGTAGCCCGATGTGGATAAGATATGTGGGGAGCATATTAAATCTAATAAATGCCTAGTTTGGTCAAGATATCTTATAGCAACTATATGATAAAATAACACGATCCAGCCGACTTCGGCAAGAGCCAAAACACGGATCTAAGCCAAGTTCTATATATATATAGGTCGACATATAAGAGACTTCCTTGAAAAAAGACAGACTTGTCTATATGAACTTAACTCTTAATGCCGAGTAAGACCATATAAGAAGCCTCAGCGGTGCTTTTTGCAATGCGTCGCACACTTCAAGACAATTTGTGCATACCCTCCCTCTCTGGCAGTGTATGGAAAGGCAGGCGTGGCGAACATGATCTCAACATGCGCGCACAAGTGCAGCTGAATTATCGCCGCCTGTTCTCAGTTTCCTTTATGCCCACATAGTTTTTTTTTTTCTCTTTTTTTTGCAGTTGTACTACTGTTAGTCCTGCGGCACATTTCCGCTTAGCACGCCACTTCCGCATCCGCCGCATCCGATGCCTTGCAACATTTTAAGCGTCCGTCGCGTGCAATGCGAGTCGGCGTCTGTGACTGCGACGCCGACCCCCTCCCCCACTTCCACTCCTTTCCCCTTGAATCCTGTTTCTCCTCCTACTACTGGTCGGCCTTCAATTTATGCGGCAGCCTTTTATGGCCAGCCCTTTTCTTTGGGTGCACTTCTCTCTGGTAATTCCTAGTCCAAGCATCCGCTTCCTGTTTAAGTGCAGGCGCAAAACTTTTTGTCTAGTTGCGGTTTTTGGTAATAAATTCTTGCGCGTTTTTTCCACTTTTTTTGTTGGAGCTTGTCTGCGGCACGCCCACGCCCACGGCCGCCCGTTGCTCAGCTTACAAGGTGTTTAAATTGTAGTTAATTTTGTTGCCACTTGAACGCGCTCTGCCTTTGTATACAGATCCCTTAAAGCAGCTACGGCTATGGCTTTATTTTCAGGTTAAGCGCCTGACCATGGGTCTGCTGCGCCACAACGAGGAGTCACGCCCGCTGGTGGCAAATGTCACCCCGCTGAGTGCAGCTGCATTGTTGAAAGGCGAGAACAGCCAGCCCATCTACTCGAACGGTTATATCAATGAGGACTCGTACATCGATAGCAAATTTGGCGACTCATGCCGCCAATCCCTGACAGCCATACCCATGCTGGACAATGTCAACCTGAACGACAACAGCGAATTCAATCTGAAGAAGCGCTATCTGCGCGAGACCAGCAGCGGTAGGTTTCGCAGAGAAAAAGAAAGATCAAATTGCAATTGCAACCATCTCATTTGCAGCCAACTCCAGTCCCAAGATCTTTGCCAATCGCCTGCGTGTGAACAATGCAGCAGCCGCCGCAGCAGCAGCCGCAGCGGCCACGCTGGCAGCAAATCAGCGCAGCAGCAGCTTGGCGAATACGCACAGCCACGAGCTGGAGGCGGAGGAGGAGTCGGATACGGAGCTAAAGGATGCCTGCTGGTATCAGGCGGGCATCTCGCGTGACATCGCCATCGAGGTGCTGCAGAGCAAGAGCCCCGGCGCATTCCTCGTGCGCAAGAGCAGCTCCAAGCCCGGCTGCTATGCGCTGACATTGCGCGTACCCTCGCCGCCAGGACCCAAGATAGCCAACTATATAATACTGCGGTCGCCACGAGGCTACAAGATTAAGGTAAGTCGCAATTTGAAATTGATTACGATTAGTTTTGCCCATGTTCGGATGTTGTTTAGGGCTTTCGCAAGGAGTTCTCCAGCCTGAAGGCTCTGATAACACACCATTCCGTAATGCCGGAACTGCTGCCCGTGCCGCTGGCCATGCCCAGGCCCACAAATATGTCCTCATCGCGCCGCAATCTGGACGACTTTGATACCTACGATTCGCTTCAGATGCTGCTCAAGTATCTGCGCGCCAAGAATCTCGAAACGGAGCAGTAGCCGTCGACAGAGAGTTATACTCAAGTCTATACGAAACTCGGATCTCATACTAATACAACTCTAGCACAAGATTGCATTTAAGTAAGCATGAAAAGCAAAATAATTTTGCCTAAAAATATTCTATACCAAAAATGTGATACTCTATGAAAAGAAAACGGACACAAAGAACACACGCACACGCTCATACACACACACATCAAATACACTACCCAACACGAATAACTGCAAATGAAACGCCTAGCTGATAAATGGTGAAAATAATTCTAGTTTAGTTTGCTTTTTTTTTGCAATATGGAAAAGGAAAATGGAAAAGGCTAGGCAGAGTGAAAATGTGAAAGACACTTCCCCACTCTCCTCTACTTCTATACATATAGGATTGTTTGTTTTAACTGACTGATTGACTGTCGGACTAATTGATTAACTGACTGACTGATTGAGCGACTGACAGACTGATTAACCCGACTAACCTGACTAACCGACTGATTGATTGGCTGACTGAATGACTGAGTGACGGACTGACTGATTGATTGACTGACTGATTGACTGATTATCTGACTGGGCGACTGACTAACCGACTGATTGACTGACTGACGGACTGACAGACTGACAAACTGACTGATTAACTGACTGACTGACTAACTAACTGACTGATTGACTTAGTGATTGGCTGACGGACTGACTGGCTGGCTGCCTGACCGATTGACAGGTTGACTGACTAACTGACTGATTGACTAAGTAATTGACTAACTGGCTGACTGACTGACTGATTGACTGACGGATGGGATGGCTAACTGACTGATTGATCGACTGAATGACTGAGTGATTGGTGAGCAACGCACAGCCTAAGCTCAAAGAGCTAGTAAGGTAAAACGTAGTAATTTCGAGCATTTCCTATTGTGGAAAATTGGCGAAAAGCGGTTGCTTTAAACTTGTTTGTTCTCCTTCCAAACGGCTTTAATCTCACTTTCAAAGAGCATATTCTAAACGTACAAGACATGTGTTTCACATTTTTCGGAAATTGCATCGATCCAGAGTAAAAAGTGGGGACTTTCTAAGTTCTAAAGCCTTACGAATGCGTTTTTCGCCAATTTTGGAAAGGCCACATGCAAAAATGGGAGGAATGCTGCGGCATGCAAATTGTCTTAAACATGGTTCACCGATTGCTTTTTGACTACGGACAGTTTGACTAATTTAAACTCTAACTCTTACCTTATTTGTTTTGATGACTCTGACTCTTTCCAATCCAATTACACATTTCATAATTCAAAAATTTTCCATTGCGCAAAACCTGGCAAAAAAAAAAAGAAAACAAATAAACATTATACTAAATATTAAATATAATAATTAATTAAAAATTATATATATGTATTACAAATTATATGTTAAATGTTGTTGCTGCTTCAATTGTTAAGCGTAAATAAATGTACTAAGCAAAAATTGCATATTTTAAATTAAGTTAAACAAATGGCAAACAAAACAAACTCTAAATATGTATATAATTCACTACTGTAACATAATTGAGTAAATAAAGTTATTTAATTTATATACAACCAAAAAAAAAAAATTGAAATAAAATAAATAAAACATCCCACACATAAATGAAATACTCGAATTTTAATAATGGTAATCAATTTCTCATTATGCAAATTTTGTGCACGGCAGCTGCGCGGCCAAATAAATTTTCGCACGTTAATTATGGGTTGGCCTTTTAAGTGCGACGACATAATTTCTGATTTATATTTATGGCCATGTCATGCGTTACCCAATTCCGCATGGAATTTAAAAATTGTATTTTGTCGAAAACTAATTAAAGTTCTATAAAAAGGTGTGGCCTTGGAAGCTATTTTTATCAGCTGTCCGTTCTGTTGCTAGCTGAAGTTTACAGTCGGCAAATGCTTTAACTCGTTGCGAATTATAAGCGAAAAACGAATAAGCGCTTAAGTGTGCTACTTTTGGAAATATGTCACGATTATCATTGTCACATTCAGCGTTTTTAATGGCTTTTAAATTTCCCTTCGATTTGGTGAAGAAGCTTTTCTTTTTACCCTAAACAACGCTTCGCAAGGCTGGCATTCTATCTTCTACTTAATATTTAATTCTCAATACCGATCAGTGCAGTATAATTAATTAAAAATTAAGGTAAGTAAAGAATTAATTAAATTAATAAAAAATATAATAACTATATTCCTTATGTTTCAAAACAAAAGGTAAAATAATTGCAGCAACTGTCAGCCCCCGCTTTTGGCCATTTGTGTTGAACAATTTCCCGTCTGTTGTTGACCTAATCACCGTCATTATACAATTTTAATTTGCTCAACTTTTAATCGAAAAGCGAAAGGGAGTGGCAGAGCTCCGGTCTGGCTAAAATCAAAGTCTCAGCCTGGCCACCTAGTAATCCCTTTTTTAATTGCAACCTCGTCGGCCAAAGACTTTTTCCTCTTTCAGTTGTCGCAAAAGTTGTAGCAAATCTTTTGCGCCGGGTAAAACTTTTTAGCCAACAGCGATTTCTTTTTACTCCGATTTTATTTCTGTAGCTTTACTTTTTGCTGCTTTGCTTGTTTGGTGTCAAAGTGTTGGCGACTTTTTCTGCTTTGCTTTCATGTTCTTGTACAAGAAAAAAAAAAACAACGCAAATAGAAAAGAAAAGTTGCGCTTTGTTGCAATTATCGGGCTCGCTACACACGAATGCGTGCGTAAATAAAATGTGTAAAAAAAGAAGGCAAAAATATCCATTCAGAGCGAAAAACATTTAAATAATTGGCGAAATTGGCAGTTGGACAGCGGGAATTGCCCTACTAAGCAGCCTAAAGTATTCATGAGCCAAACTTTTCGTCTTCAATTTACGTTATATTTGTCAATTGTTGCCGTAACAAACAGGAAAAGTGCGAGGGCCGTGCGGCTGGAATGAGGGTTCTGTCATTCACTTGGCTGTTTCTGACAACTTGCCATTAAATATTTAATAAGCCAAAGTGGCCAGCGAATAATAACAACAACAGCAACAGGAGTGCCTTGTTGGGGAAGCGCTGGACTAGCAGTTACCCTGTAATAAGTGCCGGCTTACATATTCAAGCTTCCCTTTCTACATACATAGCAAATGATACTCTAACTGGCCATTTAGTGTAAAGTCGAACATTTTACTAGCTCCTAGATGAACGCACTCAGTGACAGTTTGGGTGAATCAACTCGCCTGTTGATGCTGATCTAGAATATGTGCACCTCTTGCAATCGGATATGCTTTCCTCTGCCTGTCACCTGTCACATACACATCATCTCTTGCCCATCCCCCTGGCTACAGGGTATTAAAAACAACAACACAAATGTTGAAAATCAATTATGAGCCACTGCCCGCTGCTGCTCCTGATGCTGCGTCAGCTTCGAGTCGACTGCTTATAATTCTTAAGTGGTTTATGCATGTTCTTCAATAAGTATGAAGAGTTTTTTGTTAATTGAACATTTTCCAATCGTCCCGTCGCCATTTACTTAATGAGCGCTGTTTGCTTGCGGGCCGAAGGACAAAGGCAAATAAAGTAGCCTGCCAGGCCGTAAGCAGAAGCTGCGGCGCTTGGCTTCAAGCTGTTTAAGCCTGGGCGGGCATTGGGATGGACTTGAAGCTGCAGGGGGGGTGGGGTTTGAGAAGTGGGTTGATGTCCTTGCCAATGGCGATGTCTTTTCATATTTGTATTATTTACCAACATTATTTTGCGCTTCGCTCTGTCTCCCCCTCTCTCTCTCTCTCTCTCTCTCTCTCTCTCCCCTCAGCATTATTGCATTTCTTTGTTTGCAACTCTCAGCTCTTAAAACACCCTCGCACGCCCATCAGCCCCCCTACCTCCCCTCTCCTTATGCATTCAGTGCCTGCTGCAGCAGAACAATGGCGAAAATTATTGCTCGCGTTATTTGCGCTGCGTTTTCCTCATTTGTCAGCAGCCGTCGCCTTTTGTTGTCGCAGCTCTGAAAATTGCCAGCGTTTTTTTCTTGTATTTCATTTTCATTTTTTCACATTTTTGAACTTTTTCATTAGGCTAATTAAAAATGTTTGACTGTGGTTTGAGCTGCTTTTCCGTTGTCTTGAAAGTTTTTCCACTTCTTTCAGCTACTTTTTTTTTGTAATTTTTGGGCTATCTGTAACACATGGCGTATGAGCGTTGAGTGTTTTATGACTGCGAGCTAAACGCGGCGACAGACAACAACTTTTTTGTAACTTTTATTTAAATGGATTTAAATGCCTGCAGCAACGCTTTGTTAACTGAAATGAGAGTCGAATGCAGCCAGAGCTTGCAATGGCGTATGGAAATCCAAATTGTGAGTGGAGGACACATCAAGTGGATCTTTAAAGTATTAAACCATGACTACGGTATTATCCCGGAATACGGAACCTTGAACCTTTAATTGATTATAACAAAGGTGGAATACAGTCAAGAGTGCTCAAAGTCTTAGGTGGGAAGTGTATCCAAAATACGACAACGCAGACAATGAGGTAGCAGACATTATATATTGATGCATACCAAGTTCTATACACTTTATAGGAGCGGAGCTGCCATCTCCTAACTGTTAAAAGACCTGGGTTTTAGGTTTGTCCTTTTGCTAGTTTTTATAAAAATAATTTTATACAAATTTGATTGATATAAAAACTTTTGCTTTTGTAGATATATTGGGGGAGTGGAGTAGGATTTGGTGGTGCCAGCTTTGCTTATAATTCTCAAGTTGTTAAGGCTACGGGACAAGTTAACAAGTTCCGACGAAAATCGATATCAATGTTTGTTGATAATAGAAACAAGAGCTTCTTGAAATAGATATGTGGACACCATGGTCACTCTTGATGTTCATTGACCTCGAGAACAGGCGCAAAGATAAATGGGCTAGGCTATACTAGGAAATGTTAAAGCGAACCTTTCTGCAGCTGCATAAAGCGAATCAGCAAGTGAACTGTTTTTAAACATTTCAAAACTGTCGCAACTTTTTAGTCATAACTTTCAGAATGCAACTGACGCGTTTGCAGTTTGCAATAGACTTAAATCCAACTAAAAACCACAGAGCTATTCAACATTTTGTATTTTTGTGTCGCTTAACTTTGGCCGGCATAAAAGCAAGAAAAAAAAACTGAAAACTTTTGTCGAGCCCATAAAAAAAAAAAAACGCTCACAAAAAGTTGCATACTTTGAGGCGTCGCGACGTCTTTTGCTGAGATTAAGGCGACAATTTTGAGAGCTGCTCGGTTCGGAGGTTGTCATTAAAACTACAACAAAGTAGCTGCCAACAAAAAAAAAAAAAACAGAATGAAAATTATATGAGAGCAAAACAATAAAAAGCAACAACCAAGAGCTTTTCTTCTTCGTTTTTCTCTTTACTTTTTTTTGTGTGTGCTCACAGGAAGTTTTTTGGCAAGGATATGCTTAAGTGGCAGTAACAGTTTTCATGCAAATATTGTCTGGGGAAATGTTGTACTGTCAAAAGAACGAAAGAAGAGTAAAACAAAAATATGAAAGAACGAGATAAAACCGATAAATACGGCACACCGAAAACCAAATACTCTACGAGATTTGTGAAGCAGAAATTAATTTATGGGAAGGCTTTATTCCTATGGGAGACATATGATAAATTTAACAGATTTGAAAGGACTTTGCATATATGTTAGGGTAACTCGAAATGTGTGAGGATTGTAGAAGGATTTTTGAAAACTATAAAAGTTTTGAATGCATATAATTTTCGACTGATTCTTTCTATATAATATAGTGTGCCTCGTAGATGCCAAGATTGCTCAAGGATTAAAGTTTTTCACTTTAGTTATTTTACTTTTCTGCCTGCTTCGGGAAAAGAACGTAGGTAATCGTTCCTGACGAGAGATTGAAGATTAAAGGACAAGCTTACAATATAAATATATATTCTTATAGGAACGGATACATCTTCTTCTAAGCGTTACACATTTAATGTGAAACTTTAAATACCCCCTGCGAGTGTATGGGGGAAAAACGGTGGAAAATGCTAATCTCGTCTGGCGTTTGTCAGTCGCTAGCATGCTTAAAGTGCCAAACCGTAAAATCGAGTCCTTAAAGCCAATGCCAATCTGGCCAAATTGCTGGCTGGCTCTTTTGCATATCCCCGCCTACCCCCTCCCCACTCACCACTCCCACCACACCCCACCCAACAATTACCAGAGTGCAGCAACTGCAGCTGACAAGCGGACGCATTCTGGTGGGCGCTGTGATTATGCCTGGCTGGCCAAACAGGACACCTCATTAATTTGCCAGGCTGCGGCAATAACAATAACAGCTATTTGGCCATTCGGGCTCATTGACTGCCTGATTTTATGGCCCTGCCACTGCGGCACATCGTCTCATGTCCAAAATCAACATCAACATCAACATTGACCCAGCAGCAGTTTGTGGTATTGGTAGCTACGGCTACTGCTACTGCTGCTACAGCTGCAGCATTTCCAAATATGTTTTTGTGGCATTTTTGGCCAATTGGCAGAGCTTGCCCCATGCCCGAGGCCAATCGCATGCGGCAGACAAAGATGTGAACGTGGCCCCGGCTATGTTAGCTCTTGCCCCTTCTTATGGCCTAGTCCTCACATCTCCCTGATTATGCCGCAATGTTTGCCAGTTTCGAAGCCGGCTTCAACCAGGCCACGCTGTTGACTTGTTTGCCTAACCCAAATTGCATGCCATTGACCAAAATTCAACATTTCCTCGTGATATGGCAGCCGACTTCAGAGGCCAGCGGCTGGCTGTGTGCTGCAGTCAGCAGTCAGCCAAGGATCTCCAGTTGGCGTCGCATTCGCAATTTTGCATTAACTTTTCCACTTCGATGGCACTTGAAAGTTTCCCAAACACTCGCCGCCAGCCGGTTCGATCAACTTTAAGTGTAGCACAAAGAGAATTCCACAACTGATGGCAAGAAAACAATAAAAACAAAAACAATGCGAATGCAACAAAACATTTTTGAAGTTTCTCACTCGGTCGAGAGGCGGTTGCTCCTAATGGAAGGAGCGTTTGCCTAAAGATGCGATTGATGTAGACCTTTCAATATGTCAGCGAAATATCTTATAAGTGATTGCAACAGTTTGAAAACATTTTACATATCCAGTACACAGGGCAGGGCGATACCTCGAGAAACAACGGAACAGTTTATGCGACACTTTCTCCTTATCCAGGACACTGCTACAGTCTAAAAAGCATTTGGGTCCTTGCTTGACTTGATCGATCCAAAAGTAAATAGAAGCGTAGGAATCGAAATCTAGTTTTTGAAATAGCTAGAAAGTCCCTTTACTCTGCTGGCCATGCCCATCTTCCTATCTTTCCATAAGAAACGTGGATGTCAAATACAATATACATTTGAAATTGTGACTCATACGCTATTATTCTCTTTGAATTCTGACCGATTTATGTGCGGGGGACCTACGTCTATATAGGATATTCCATGGTACCATTTTCACATGAATTTTGACCATGAAACATATTTCCAGATTTAGATGCCAAATTAATCTAGCCGGGTTCAAGGTATTCCGCAGTCGGACACTCCCGACTAGACAGACTTTTAAGTTTAAAAAAAATGATTACATAAATGAAAAATGTCAACCACAGAAACAACGTCAACTTTGTTGCATAGTGTAATCAACATGTAACCAGCTTATTAAAAGAAGCCCAGATAAGATTTAATTAGTATTTAAACTATGCACAATTTAAATCTAAATTTTTTCGCTGCATGTCTCTATATAGACAAAGTTGAGGCCCATAAATAACTGGAGAACAGCTGATTTATGTAAGTTGCTTCAGCAGCTAATGGAAAAGCGCAGAGAACCATTTCGTATAAAAGTGCGAGCTGAGTTAGAATAGAGACCTAGTCAAATTGTAGGCATGAAGATAGTACTAGCAATTCTTTGCTGGGCTTTTGCCAGCTCCAGTGGAGCCAAGCTACCCATTGGCACGCAGAGGATATCACGCATTCCGCTCAAGGATCTGCCCAGTTTCTCTGGCATCGAAGCGCGCATTATCAATGGCTTTGCGCCTTCCGAGGGCCTAGTTCCGTTTATTGTGGGGCTGAGTTTCGAGTTTCGATACGGCGCCTGGTGGTGCGGTGGTTCCATTATAGGCAACACCTGGATTCTGACAGCTGCACATTGCACTGAGTTGGCGGAGTCAGTGAGGATCTATTACGGCTCCAACAAGCTCGCACAGGGTCAGCTAACACATGATGTGCGAAGCGGCGATATACTTCCGCATGCGGAGTACAACAGAGGGATCGACGTGGCACATGATATCGCACTCATACGCACGCCCCATGTGAGCTTTACGGACCACATCAAAAAGCTGGAGCTGGGCGAACGTGACAATAGCTATGCAGGCTGGTGGAGCACATCCTGCGGCTGGGGCAAGACCGGGCTAAGCCAGGGCCAGCCAAATGATTTGCAGTGCATCAACCTGCAGATCATCAGCAGTGATGAGTGCTACCAACAAATTGGACCACATGGCGGGCGCACAGAGGGTATTCTCTGGGTTAGCACTGCGTCTGGCAAGTCCACCTGCAGCGGTGACTCGGGTGGCCCATTGGTCACCCACGTTGGCTTCAAGCTGGTTGGCATCAACTCCTTTGTGCTAAAGAGCTGCGAGAGTGGCCTGCCAGCTGGTTTCACTCGAGTCAGCGCCTACCGAGACTGGATACGCGACATTGCTGGCATCGAGTAAAACCCAACCATCCGGCAAGGATAAACAAATCATATGCGATCTGCAGTTGGCAAACACAAATGGAATTAGTCCCTAAAAGCCAAATCTGCAAATCGATATTTATTGATATTATAGAAATTGAAGCACATATCAAAAAACCATGATAAACTAGCACTGCATATGGTTAAGGAGAATATACATAGACAAATTTAAAGTCTAACTTTTCTAGGTCCGAGTACGAAAAAAGCGGTCAGCCAGGCGAACAATGCTCATAGCCAATAGACTCTTTTCTCACTTTGAACTAGTATTATAATATCTGTTGCCATTACAATGCATTATCTATGATTGGAGCAGTCGGATAGGGCAATCGGTTCAATCGGTAAATGCATCAAAGTGCTGCAGGGAGTGCAAAAAAAAATGACGCTGAACTATATTCATATGCCGCATACTCAACACATACTCACACACAGCGGGCGGCATTAATGCACTGCGTTTGCTAATGCAACAAAAACAACAACAAAAACAACAACATCAAAAACTACAACAACATCAAGAGGCTGTGGGAGCTGTGGGAGCAGCTGTTGACAGAGTGGGGCGACTGCAAACAAAAGCCAGTTAAAGCAACAGTAGCTGCCTTCTTAGCAGCCACACACTCACGCATACACACATCCACACACACATGCTGACATAGTCATATAGAAACAGTAGCTCACACACATACTCACACACACACAAACTCGCGCGCGAACTGGTATTCATTTTTGCTCTTCGCCATTGTTGCAGCTGCTCGTGACGTGGCCCATTGTTGTTAATGTCGTTGTTGTTGCTGCTGCTGTACTCTAGTTATTGTTGTTGTGCCAACACACACTCACACATATACACACACACACTCACTTATACATTGCCACAAACATTTACATACACATACAAAGCTAGTAGCTTTTTGTTTAATTCGTTTTTCTATTGTTCACAGGCAAGAACTTTAGTCCGCAGGCTTTGGCAACATTGTTAAATTGTTGCTATCTCTATTCAGTCGCACTCTTGTTACTTCTATCTCCCTCTCCCTCTCTCTCTCTCTCTCTCTCTCTCTTTCTATCGTTTGATGCCATGCAGATTTTGCATTTCCATGGCACAAAAGTTGAAAGCGAGGACATTATTGAATATGCGTTGCCGTTGTCCCATTGTTGGCACACACACACACACACGCACACAGGCACACACACACACTGACACACCCTCTAGGCCAGGCACTGCAAACAAAGGTGCAGCTTAGCGCGCATTTTGACCATTGAAATTTATACGCCGCTTTCACACATTGTCGAGCCGCACATTAAAGCCAAAGAGCCACAGCTACAGAGTGTGTATATGTGTGTGCGTGTGTGTGTGATAGAGCGCTGCCAACTTTACTCGATTTCAAGAATGTTAAGGTCAGACACTGCCAACTGCTTCACCCATTCGTTTATTTATGTTTTTCTGGCGTTTTGTTTGCCGCTCGCTCTAATAAATTAGCAGCTTTACCTTTGAGCCCCCAGCCCCGCCCCTAAACACAGGAAACCAATTGCAATTTATCGCAGCAGCAAAGAAAGGCACGTACCGACAACTCCGGCTGCTGTCTGTAGGGTCCGTGGTCGGGATGGGGCGGGCCTTTCGAATGTGCACACCTTATCGCCCGGCTTAAGCGACACGCACATCCAGCGGGAGACAGTCGAGGATTTGGCAAAATAGTTCTCTCACCCGGACACTCGCCTGACTAACGAGGCGACAATAAAAATTGCCCTGGCAATTGGCACATTGCGGTGGCAAGTTAAAAGGGATTTGCCATTTTAAATTATGGTATCATATGGTACGAAGCGCATAAAGTGGAGACGGTAACACTGGGAGAACTAAGCACATGTGGAGACGGACAAGGTTTCAGTTCCTGAGGAACTTCCTTTTTTTGTTGAATAACTTTAAGTGTAATAGTAAATTAAAAACATAAAATTATCAGATGGAAAATGATGTTTAAAAAAGTAATTCCTAATTATCCAAATTTTATTGTTTTGCCACATTTGAACCAGTGACTTCTCACTTGCTTGTTCGCACCCTACATTTATTATGTATTATTTATATTTTATGATGAATATCTATTAGAACACCATGCATTAAATTCTACAACCCAATCTTAAATGTTCCTCAACTAAAAACTCATTCTTTTCAAGTTTAAATAAAGCCCCACAGGGCAAAGCTTCCTAATTATGCTGCTAATTTGGAGGCCTATAGACTGCCGCCTTCATTTCCCTGGCCCAAAGTTGAATATGCCTTAGCTTTAAACTTGAGAAATTGAAAACTTTTGGCTGGCAGCATGGTACACGCTCAGGTGTAAGCAAAACAAGAAGTTCAAACAAAAGATGTATTTCAATAGCGTGCCGCTTGAGATTCTTGGGTCTTAGATTGCGGGCAACGGAAACGCTGGCCAAGATTTATCGTGCGTCCATTACAAGCGGAAATTAAGCGCGGCAGGTCGCCAGGCGACGCTTCAAGGCGAGCGTGCGTGAAAGCGTTTTCCCGTTTGCCCGGCAGCCCGCACAACCCAACCCGATCCGACTACTCCAGTAGTCCTGGCCATAAAGCAACTGCGGAACGGACACACGAACCCAAATTCCAACTGGCCAAAGCAAAGCTATTGTTTCTCAACCGAGCTCTCGTCTATTCCAGTCACGTGGCACGCAACGACAACTTGGGATTTGTTAAGTGGCGTGGCGTTTTGATGTGCGGAATGTGCAACACCATGCTGCCCACGCTCAAGCCCCTCCAAATCTATATATATGTTTATATATATAGATATATATGTAACTAAATGTAAGTAAGCAGCAAATGCGCACATACATATTTTACTTTTTTTTATACCCTGTAGCCGTAGAATGCACGCAACTAAAACTTTTGTTTTGCTCAATTTTAGATTAAAGAAAGAATAAAATATCATTGAAAGCTGTCTCTTTCTCGGGCAGATTTGAGAATGTTATTTTTTACTGAGACAAGCCCCAGAAAAATAGTCAAAGGATCGGTTAACGTCTTCAACCAGGTTTTTGGATCTGAACCAGGTTCTCCATCTATGAAACCAGGTTTATGGTATACAATTTGTTATTAACCTACAGCAGACTTTCATGCTTTGGTTCCTATTCCTAATTTGGTTTGCTTTGGTTCTTGCCTCTTTTGAATACATATGTATCGGGCTCGAACCGGTTCAATTCAAACCATTAATTAATATACATAGTCGCATATTTGAATCTCAATGCATTTTAAACTACTTTTAACCGTATTACAGGGTATCTGCTAGTCTCGTCTTTCAAACAATGTTCTGTGCTGGCTGGTTTTTGATTTCTGGAACGCTTCGCTGGCCTGTCACGTGTTCCGGACATTTTGCACATAACTTGTTTTAACATTTATTGCCAACTTCCTTTTGCATGTTTTGGCCTGGTTTCTCTTTTGTTTCAGCGTTCACCTTTTGCGGTTAGTTTCCACCTATTCGAGGTGGAAGAGGAGGACATCAGTCAGCCGTGGCTGATTCGATTTGGGCGATGTGTACCTTTGCTTTTAGTGATTGAAATCGCACATTTTTAAGTGAAAAAGCGCACAGAGAAGTGCACTCAATCACTCGTCACGTGATTCTCAGCCAGCTCCCAACGAGCACAAATGATGGCTGGATAAGTGAAGGGGCGGAGCGCGGCGAGAGAGAGGTGGGCGAGTGCCAGGCAAGTGCTGCTGGACAGCAGCTGGAAAAGTGTTGGAGCGCGACTGTGTTTATATAAAAGATTACGTCATTGTGCTCGAGCAGAGAGTGGGCAAGAGGGGGTGGAAAAGCGCTGATAAGCGGCAAAAACAAGAACAGCATCCGCAATGGAAATGGAGTCGCTTTGGGCTATCGCCGGCTTTTGTAAGCGATGCGATAATGGCACGTAAATGTTGTGAATGCGAAATCAATAGGAAAACAGCTTTAATGGAAAATCTCAACAAAATCGAAGAAAGAAAAAAAATGCCAATTGCCATAAAATTGTAAAACCGAACAGCGCAAAACTTTAGCCAAACTTTTCTAATTTTCGCATTATGAAAATTATCTGCATAGCCACAGCCAGAAAAACAAAAATCCAACAAAGGCTACGGCTCGGCAAATGTAATTTTGAAGGGCCGCCCTTTAACATTTCGGGTGCCTTGAGCCTACGCGAAAGGCGACAAAAATGCCACAAAGCGAAAAGAAAGAAAGAAGGGAATATAAAAATAGAATGTGGCAACGAGTAAAGCCGTGAAAACTTTTCCATTAAGAAAATTAACTGAGATTAAGTGTGGCGCATGTTTTAACTGAGTGAAAGTTTTTTCTTGTCCCTTCTGTTTTTTTTTTGTTTGCCTTTTTTGGGAGGAGGTTTCCTTCGAAATTACAACAATTTCAAGGCATTTAAGCATTTGTCGCACAAGCACACACCAAGGCAGTTTCTGTGTAGGCCGCAGGCCGGATGTGAACCCTCCCCACCCTTCCCCGCGCACAGCTAGAGCGGATGTGGATGCTCCAAGTGGCTCCCACGCACACATGAGGGCAAGGGATGGGGGTTATTTGTTGCCTGGCTGACTGCCTGACTGCCTGACACACTTTGCTTGTTTGCTGCCGTCGATACTAATCTAATTTTATTGATATTGACACAATTTCTGCAGATTTCCGCATAAACATAAAAACAGAGGCGGGCGAATGCACAGGAAGAAAAGCTAAGCTTCAAGCAACAACAACAACAAGAAAGGCGATTGAGGCACGCAAACAAATGAAAACCAATAAAATTTGGCCATAGAGCAAGGTTTGAGGAATGGGGCATAAATAAGTTCAGTCATTGAAGTCGCCAACATTGCGATGTAGTTAAACAATTTTCAAACAGTCTGCCAAGATTAGATTCAACTATTTGTTAGGCCTTACAAAACTTTAAAAAGCAAATAAAAGTATTTAAAGGTTTTTCGGATTTTCTTTTTAGTTAAATATATTGGAATTTCGAGGTCGAATCAGTTCGATTTCAAAACGATTTACAGTCCCATTATGCATTCATGAATATACATATGTGAAACTCAATTCATTTTAGAGGTACTTCAGGCTACATCAGTAAAATTATTTCTCAGAAGTTCACGACATATCTCTGAAAAATATATAAAGCAAAACCCAAAATTGATGCATCATATATCTAACAATATTACACTGGGTTTTCATACTGCTTTAAGGTCTCAAGTGCCATTCAATTAAACAAATATAAACATTCGATTGCTCGCGTCGGCAAATACTTGAAATATATATATTTCGAGATTGTCTGCTACACTGTCTGATATAGGCATTACTCAATTATTATTTTATTACTCAATTATACCCGGAACCAAAGCAATGTAAACAGACGATAGGCTCTCAGAACCCATTGATAAGTTGCCCGCGATATCATTCATTAAATAAAAACTCATAGGTATATAATATAATGCGTTTATGATTGGCGCAACAACTTGTTATGGCATACAAAGGAAATAAAATAATGTAAAATAAACAATAAACAAAGCGTTGATAAATGCTGCCAAAACCACCACAAAATCAGGGGTTAAAGCATGCAATTGAAAGCTGCCTCAATGAGCCGTCTTCTCATTAAGGCAACTGCAGCGAAGACAAGTTCTATTCAAAACGTATGGAAATGCTGCTGATGAGGGTTACAAACATATAGTTAATACCCTGTTTCTATTGGAAATGGGGATATTGCCTAAAGTAGAAGATAAGAAACATATACGAAAGGTATTTGTAGATATCTATATACTTTCCAGCTTTATATTTTTAGGGACGATAAATATCGAAGAATATTCCCCTCTATGATTACTTATATAAACATATTTGGATGTTACATTTACGCCTTTGAAATTCGGTATAGAACGGGTCTTATGGTAGATAGACTAGAAATCTTTGTTATAAACACATATTAAGATTTAATATTAAACCTCTGAGAATTTCAATTAGGTTTCGAAGTTGTACAAAGTAGTTTTTCAAGGTGGTTTATGGTCTGCAAATCAAATGTTTATGTAAAAATTGAGTACGATCATATGTAAAGACTGCTCGAAGCTGTTTGCAGGGTATCTACCTCGGCAAGAGCACTCCAACTTGTCTTTTGTTGTAGTTCAAGACGAAGGCCTAAGCAACATAATCGCTGAAACGTGTGGCAATTACATGGAACTGGCTAAAATTGAATGCCAAACAGCTGCTGATTTTCTGTGTGTTTCGGCGTGTAATTCGCAAATTCAATTAACCAAGAGGAGCCCGGACACGTGCCGTGTCTATAAAAACAACAAACTACTCGAGTGAAGAGCACACACTCAGCAGCAGCAGCACTGAGATGCTTTACCCACACGCCTGGCTGCTCTGTCTGGCCGTCTTGGGCCTGGCGCAGGCGTGGAGCACTAAGCACGATGCCAGCCCGGAACAGCAGGAGGAGCTCATGTCCATACGCTGGCAGCTGGGCTACGAGCGCTGGCAGCGTCTATGCGAGAAATATAAGCTAAACGAGGAGCAACAGGAGCAGGCGGTGAGCACACGCATCGCACGAGGCGAACTGGCCGAAACGGGCATGTTTCCCTACCAGGCGGGACTTCTTCTCCAGCTGCGCCAGGGCGATGGCCGGCAATGCGGCGGCTCACTCATCAGCCTGGACTTTGTGCTGACCGCAGCGCATTGCCTGATTGATGCGGAGAGTGCACGCGTTTATCTGGGCAGCAACATATATACAGATGAAGCAGCCTCTGCTCAGGTGTTTGAGGTGCAACAGCCGCAGTTCAAGGTTTATCCCGGCTATCCAGGCTTTGGTGGCTACCATGATCTGGCACTGATACGCCTGCCCCGGCCGGCCAGACCCAGTGCGAACGTGCAGCCGATTGCTTTGGCGCTGGAGTTTATGCAGCCGCCGCTATTGGAGGGTCAATTGGTAAGCAGCTCCGGCTGGGGCGCCCTGGGGGATGATGATGAGCTGAACAATCAGTCACCGTTCGAGGGGGAGTCCAATTTGCTGCACTATGTCGATGTGCCGGTCCTAGAGCAAGACATATGCATTTGCAACTTTCTGCCCGGCTTGGTTAGCACGCGACGTCACATTTGCACCGACGGACGAAATGGACGTGGCGGTTGCCAGGGCGATTCCGGTGGCCCGTTGGTCTATCTGTGGCGCAACATCAGCTATTTGATTGGAGTAACCGCATTTGGCAGCACAACGGGCTGTGAGCTGGGCGCCCCGACTGTCTACACGCGCGTCGCTGCCTATTTGGGCTGGATACTGGGCGAAGCGGGCGTGGGTGTGGCAAGGCATGAGAGCAGCAGTCAACAGTCAACTCAATGCAATTAACGCCTAATTGTTGGCCATTAATTGCTTAACAATATAGCCAGCCAGTACGCTGGCTGGCTGGCATGTCCTGACAATAAAACCAATTAGTTTAACACTAACAATGAAATCGAGTCCACGGACAAGTTTTACTTTGCCTTGGGGTGCCATTTTATGGGCCCTTTGCTGCCAAATGGAAATTGTCAGCTATAAATAACAATCAGAAAACATTAAAACAAACAATCAAATGGCAGCCAAATACTTGACAACATTGCCATAAAAATGGCATCAAAACAAATGTAAAGCCAATCGAACTTTTTTTGCTTTTGAATCGCAGCTAATTTTGCAATTGTGCTGCCTCCGCTGTTGACTTTTTTTTCTCTATATATTCTGCACATTTGCTAATCGCCTTTAATTGAGCATTTTCAATTGCCAATCAACCGCACTGCTATTTCCCAGTTCAAACCCCCTGATTTCGTGTGCCAACCCTTCAGAAAAAAAAAAAAAAACAAATCAAAGTCTCAGCTAGCGCAATCACGCGGCGAGTGTTGATAAATGCGAATGACCGTAAACAATTGTTGTGGTCAGCTTAGCGCAGCTGTGGTTTATTTTTATAAATAATATCAATTGCTGACAGACACACTTTTGATATCAGTTAATGCGACGCGAAGTCTCGCTGATTTCTGTTCTGAAAGAACGAAAATAATGAGTGCATTTGCACTATGAAGGACACGGGTTCAAATGCCCGCTTACATATACATACATAGCTGTCTAAATTGAGGGGTCCAATGCCCAATGCCCCAATGCCTGTTCTAAAAGAGGGTTCGAACCGCTGAAGTTCAAACCTAGATTGCTGCTTTGAGCTGTAGAGCTTGAAGTTAGTTAGTTTAAGTCAGTTTAGCTGAGCTTCGAGAAACTAAAAATAGTTTTACATAAGATTTAATAACCTTCTAGACATTTGTCTTCTGTAGATATGGAAAAATAGTGAATATCTTCGAATATGAATATTTTTATACTTCCCTTAGATTTTGCATATATGCAAGAAGCAAAGTGACTATTAAATAAATGCTGAATTTAGTCAAGATATCTAGACAAACAGAAAAGTTCTTCATACAAGAACCTACTTGTCGACCGAGCATTCCTATGGCAGGTATATGATATATAGGTCCGATCCGACCAATGCCGACATATGACTCTACAACAGAAATATGGACCTATGCAAAGTTTAAAGATGAGAGCTTTAAAACTGAGAGACAGGCAGGCGTACATGACTTTATCAAGTCGATGCCGATCTAGAATATATATGCTTTAAGGGCCCGAAGATATCCCTTTATTATAATATTCTCTACAAGAGTATTAAGAGATTATTTAGCTGTAACTTTTGCACTTATTGATAGATTTCTCAAAAAAACAAAGCTACCGCCCATATATCTCAGCTCTCTGAAGTCTCCAAGTATTGAATATAGCTTATACGCAATAGTAATTTTTAATGTTGATATCTCAATGCAAAGTATGCCAAAAAAGTTAACATTTTGAGGCGCACTGACCGATAAAACGTACTTAAGACTATTAGAATTGCAGAGATCTTACAAAATACTTATTGTCGATCTTACAAGTCCAGCGGAACCGCCAGCTCAACTCCTTAGCTGATAAAAGACGATCGATAAGATAGATGGGAATTAAATCTGATACCTTTTAATGCACATCATTGAAAGTACAGTGAACACTCGCGAGCAGCACCAGCTCTTTTTTTGCCACAAATCGAATTAATTAGCGTGTACTTGTTTCCCCTCTCAAGCAACTGGATCATATCGGGCAAAAGTCAACAACAAAAAAACCCAATCGATAAATTTATAAAAACATAATTTGTTAAATTTATAAATAAAACCCAAGAGATTTTTGATTAAAGCCAGCAGCTGCCTGTTAATATTTTGGTCGCAAATAAACTGTATCTGTCGATCAAAAATTGGCGCTGAAAATTTAGATAAGACTAGACTTCGACTTGGACGTCGTGACCAGACGTGACGTGTGCCCAAGTCGGGCATATCTTATCTGGCCTAATACCCGAAACGGAGCCCAATCTTGGCCAGCAATGTTTGGTGAATTGCTATATAAGCGGCACTATGGTCGGGTAAACAACCAGTTGAGTTCCAAGTAACTAAAACAACATGAAGTTCCTGATCGTTCTTGCTTTGGCCGTGGCCGTTACGGCTTTCCCCGAAAGCGAGCTGGTGCACCGCAGCCGTGTGATGCCTGTCGTGTCCGATGACATTGAGGGTCGCATCACCAATGGCAACAAGGCCTCCGTTGGCCAGTTCCCCTACCAGGTGGGTCTATCCCTCAAGGTTAGCGCTCTGTCCTCTGCCTGGTGCGGCGGCTCCCTGATCAGCAGCACCTGGGTGCTCACCGCTGCTCACTGTACCGATGGGTAAGTGCATCTCCTATCTGGTTCTGGCTGCAGCAGCTCAGCTTATTCTATTTGACTTACAGTATTCAGTCTGTGACCGTCTATTTGGGCGCCACCGTGCGTACCTCACCCGAGGTTAGCCACACCGTTGCCAGCTCCAACATCATCATCCACTCCGGCTGGAACAGCAACACCCTGAAGAACGACATCTCTCTGATCAAGATCCCAGCTGTCGCCTTCTCCAGCAAGATCCAGGTTGCCAAGCTGCCCGCCATCGCTAGCTCCTACTCGACCTATGCCGGTTCGACCGTCGTCGCCTCCGGCTGGGGCCGCACCAGTGACTCCGCCAGCTCCGTTGCTTCCGATCTGATGTATGTCGATCTGACCGTCATCACCAACAGCGTCTGCGCTGCGACCTACGGCTCAAGCACTGTCACCGCCAGCAACATTTGCGTGTCTACCCCCAACGGCAAGTCTACCTGCAACGGTGACTCCGGCGGCCCATTGGTGCTGAAGGACAACAGTCTCCAGGTTGGTCTGACCTCCTTCGGTGCTGCCGCTGGCTGCGAGAAGGGCTACCCAGCTGCCTTCACCCGTGTGACCAGCTACTTGGACTGGATCAAGTCCAACACTGGCGTCTCCTACTAAACATCAGGAACTTCAACTTCAAACCAATAAAAGCTTTAACCAAATACTGTTTATACTGTTCTAAATTATTTAATTTTTTTATGGTTGCAATTCCCAAATGGTGAAAGCACAGAAGGTGGCACGAGGAGAACTGGAGATGGCAGCAAAGTCTCTTCAACATGCTTAAGCTGATACGGTTGTAAACTATAAGCTGGCTGCCAAGGCCTTCATCTAAGACCGGGCACTCCCATCTGCATCCCTCCCAACTTTGTCAACTCATTCCGCAAAATATTCAAACCGCTTTCACTTATTTTCCCCCTCGCGCAATGAATTTACAAAATGTCGGCGTTCGCATCAAAAGTTTAAATTGACATTAAACGACAATTGCAAGTGTTTTAGGCATGCAAAGCGGGGGGCGGTGGAAAGTGGGCGCGGCAGCAGCAGCTGTTACGAGCGCTCAGCACATAAGTTTTCATTAAAATTCATTAAAATTACGCGGCGACACAATAAAAGAAGCAAAATGAAATAAAAAAAAAAACACTCGAGAAAAATGGCAGCAACAACAGCGAAAAAAAAAAGTTATTCATTCAAGTGAAAGTGGGCGTTTGCTTTGTAGGCGTGGCCAGCTGACAATATGTCAACATTTAAATTATTACAACGCATTTAAATAATGGCAAAAGTTTTCGTTGTTTTTTTTTATGTTTCGTTGAGTTTCCACTTTTATGATTGTTTTATTTTTTTCTGAGCATTTATTTTCTGTACAAAAAGTTTTCCCATTGAGCTGGAAAATTGCAGGGCACATTTTGTAAAGCACATCTCCGAAGTTTTCCACCCAAACGCTTTAAGGAGTGAGATTCATAAAATTAAGTACAATATATATATATATATATTTATATACGTATATTCAAATTTCGCAATCTCATGCATGTTCATAAAATCGCGCATGAATATGCAAAGAAAACACTGTCCAACAATGAAGTGGCCCACACACACACACACACACACACACACACACACGAGAAGCTGGAACTGGCAAGCGCATATGCTGCTGCGGTTTGCATAGAAACCATTTGTTCAAAAATGTCCAACATAGAGTTGGCTCGTGCTTCTTTTCGTGACACGATCAACAAACGATGCAATAGGACCTGTATGTTATCATAATCAAAGAATGATTGAAAAAAACATTCATCTTCATTAATAAGGTATTTTTTTAGTCGCATTTATTGGTATACTTTGCTAGTATTTTTCTGCAACTATTTGCATTCGTGACACGAACAAGCACGACTCACAATATGTCACAAAATCATAAACTCTCGATATCATTACTATATCAATCAGATTTATCTAGTATCTGTCGTTATAGTATATTCCTTCGAGATTATAACAATATATTTGGTATTTCTCAAAATTATTTTCAGCTTTTATTTGCTTCTCGATTTCGTGACACGAACAACAATTCACACCACAGGACTTTACAAAATGAGTAATACTAATGGAATAAAATATTTGTTATCTATATTTTCTTTCAGCTGAGGCCTTGTCTGGCCTTTTTTATGATTTCCACTCTTTTTACGCTTATTGTGGTGAATCATTTTAAAAATTATATTTTTCATTATATTTCAGCTTATTAAGCAAAGCCTAATGTTTTACACAGTACTTAAACAAAAAAGTTAAAGCCCAATCAGAAAAAAATGTAAGTATCGTACGATAAATTGTATGGATAACCTCCCATCCTACCATTTATCCACTCATGTCTCTTTGAAAGCGGAAAATTACATCTGATAACACAAAGAGCTTTGAATATCGTTTGGTATGAAAAATGTATATAGCAATATGCATCAATTATATTCCTGTTTGTGTCGTGCCGTGTCGTGACACGCGCCCATCTCTATTGTCCAAGTGAAGCAGCTGAACTTGAGAGCGTGAATACTGAGCGGCGCTGGCAGCACTCGGGGACTGGTAACTTTAAATATCAAAAGCAGCGAATGCTCTGCTAACTGGCTGCGTATCCAGTCAGGCTGATAAATGTTTGCATTCCACAAATTTATGACAGCAGCAAAAAGTTGCGCACGTATTTTTGTGGCTTAGAGATATGACAAAATACTGCACATACAATCAGAAAGTTACAATATGCACAGTTCTTCACTTGTGTGTGTGAGTGTGTGTGAAAAGTTAGTTAAAATGTCAAAGCAGTCGAGTTGACGGAACATATTCTCAATTGGTTGCACATACGACGCGTGGGTCGAGCGTTTATTGCCAAAGTTTTTTTCGTATTTAAATTCCACTTTGGAATTTCGAATTTCAGCATTTTTAGTTTTGGTCCACAGAAAACTTGTCTAGCTTGACTACTGAACATGTTCATTTGAATTTTCTTCTGACAGTTTCTGTGGCTGTGCTTTGGCTCAGCCAACTTAGAGACTTGAACATAATACTATTTGGCCTGGTCCAGGCAATTCAATTTATTTATGCACTAACACACACACACACACACAGACAGACAGTCTGTCTGTCACCTGTGGGACCCGTAGCATTCGGGTCAGCACATTTGACACACAAAAATCAAAATGTAAAATGTTTCGAATGCCAAGCCAATCAATTATTTAGTCAGCTAATAAAACCAATTTGGATTCGTTATAAAGTTGTTGCCGCACAGCAAAATCAATTAACAAAGAGGCAGCTCATCAATTAAAGCAGCCTGCCAAATGTGTGTGAATGTTTATGTGTGTGTGTGTTAGTCTATATATATGTGTGTGTGCGTGCTTGAAAACTTTTTGACTCAAGAGTCAATGCAATGCTGGCTAATAAATCGCAAGCGATTCAAAGCAATCAAGTTAATTAACGATTTTTGGTTGGCCAACTAGTCGGCTACATAATTAATTAAGTCGAGCAAAGGCAAAAAAAGCTCCCAAGCGGGTGCATATGTATGTCCGAGCGAGAAGAGAGTTGAAAGGACAGCTCATGTTAACACACACACACACACACACACACACACACACACACGAAAGAGCACACACGCACACAGAGAATTAGAAGCAAGTATTGCTAATTAGATTCAGTGGCGGGTAGGCATAGGGTGCGAATAATTATTTTTCTGTTAAGCTTTTATTTTATATAAATTGCAAGAAATTAGGATCCGTATGTTGAAATTTAAGTATAGTTAGCACGTTTTATCCGGTTTTAGACGAATTAATTTAAGTTCAGTTCAAATTTTTCATAATTTGCCATGGACAAAGGACTTAAGTCACCCATTTTCCACCCACTGTAGCGGATTTTATATAAGGTGTAAAGTTCAGCAACACGTTTTGAATATTTCAAAATGTACAGCTTAAAATATGGGCTTAAAACTAATTAGCCGATAATATATTATAGCTGGTATCCATAGAACGTAAATCACTTATTTTCCGCGCAGAAGAGTGGATTTCACGTTACGTGCAAAAAAGCGCTCTGCTTTTATTACCAATAAGTAAGTAAATTTCATCTGGCTGTCCATCATGGAATATAAAATTAAAATTTAAGCTACAAATTCTTAACCCAACACACTTCGAATGACTTCCTTATGTAAATAACTAAGCTCCCTTCATTTCCTTTGCTTAGGAATGACTTAAATTTAAGGCGACCCCCGCGCAGCCGCAGCTCTTGGCCTACCCAACGCAATCTGAATTTTAATAATGATTATGATGATGATATTGACGCAACATGATTGGCAAATTTAACTGGACAACTTGCTTATCATAAAGCAACCGTTAAATGATTAATCAAGTGCAATGACTGGCCGAAAACTAAACAAGAGAAAACTATTGAGAGAATGACCCAACAAAGTATTGCCTGGAAAGCTAAGCAAAAGTATCTGACTTTTTGCCTGTGACACATTGAGCGATGTTTGGGTAATTAACTACCACACAAAAAGCAAATAGCAGAAATAGAAAGAGTGTGTGTGTGTGTGTGAGTGAGAAGGGGGGGTTGGTTAGCAGGAGACTCACTTAGCCAAGAGCACTTACCCTCAAGTTCTGTGTATATTTAACGGGCTGTCACTTGCGCTGACAGCCAACACAGAAAGTGTTTCTAACAAAGTCCTTACACACACTAATACACAACTAACACACACACACGCGCACGCTTAGAGTATCGCACACTTAATTCATTTAACTCAAACATTTTCATTTATTTATCGCATTATACTGACTTTACCCCAGCGTAACCATTGCACAGCATTTTTCTCTTTTTTTGGCTAATGACTTCCTGCTTTTGCCAACGCGCTCAGCTTCCGGCTGCCACACACACACACACAGATACACCCACACACACCCACACACACATGTGGCACTCGTGACACCCACATGACGGCGCATCAGGCTCATTGAATGTTTTTGGCATGTTGCCCGGCTCGACACCATTATTTCTGGTAACAAGATAATTGTATAATGAAATCCAAACAACACTTTGGCTTGACTTGTCTGCGGCAGCCTGGTTGGTTGCCTTCCAGGCTGCGTCGTCTCCCCCCAACCCCCTTCTTCTCCCATGCTCTCTGTCTTTTTCTCTGTTCATGCTGCGCCACTTCAACCTCTACAACAATGACTTGACGGCAAAGTTCGCTGCTTTTTCCCAACAGTTCACACAAAGACAAAGACTTTTCTTGTTGTTATTTTGGTTTGTGTTGTTGCTGATTGAGTGGTAATACTTTTTGGTCTTTGTGGATATCTCGCCTTTGGTTTTATGCCCTACAGCGGCAGACAGCGATTGCAGCTAAAGCTTTGAGTGAAAGGCAAGCGTGAAAGCAGAGAACAAAGGCTTAACATTTTAATGAGAATCGCATAGAAAGGCCGCAAAATTACCAAAATTAAGTTACTTCCACACATTCAAACAATAAAAAACAAACAACAAACGTAAATTAGCTTCAATTTACATGAGAATCGCCTAGAAAGGCAGCATTTTAAAAAGAATTTACTTGGCATTCAGCTTAGGGCCGCAAAAAAAATTCAAAATAAATTGGGTTTTAGTAATAACCGCACAGAGAGGCTGCAGCTTATAGGTATAAAATAGTTTAACCGTATTGTACATTCGCATA